GTGTAAGAATTATTGGGGGTGATGGTGCATGCAAGGCAAAGGAAATTGCCTTTAGGGTTGACAGGCCCTAAGGCTTTCCTTAGATATAAAAGACTAATGAATATTAGACTACTTACTAAGCGGACGATAAACTAATAGATTTAACAATATGTGTTTGATCAAATAATGAAATTAATATTCATCCGCTGAGCTGTAGGCAACCCTGGCTTATCTGATTGCCTGTTTCCTTGGCCTCCTTGGAATTGCGGCAATTAACACATCAATGTACGGCGATATCGATGGTGTGCCTCCACCATCCACCATCACCTCCCATTTCCAGACCCGTTCCCACGCCCAACATCAACCCACCGCCTACCACGCCCACGTTACAGAATCGCCTCCAGAGAGGGAAATAAATTATTCTATTTGAAAGCTTTTAAAGCGTCCACACTCGGCTAAGGCAGCTGGCATTAAAATGCATTTATTTGAATTTCTTGTTGATATCGAAGAGCACAGAGCTGGCAAACAAACAGAACCGACGCCCACTTGCAGTATTTATTGTGTTTTGAATTGGATGGAGGCATAAACTAACCTTTGACGCTGCCTTTTGAAGGGTGGAGAACCACAGCCAAGTGCCCCTCTACCCAACCCCTTCTGAAATTGAGCCCCTCCATCGAGCGGACTTTTTGGGTACCTTGATAATTTATTGTGTTACGTATACGCAGCGTGGGCGGGCAATTGAATTGAAATGAATTCCGGAAAAGCAATGGGGGAAAATGTTTCATAAATGTTGCCGAAGGACTACCAGCACTCCTCACTCTCCACTCCACGGCAAAAAACTGCAATCGTTTCGTTTTGTTTTCAACTTCGATTGCTAGGTAATTTAATCCTTGTTTTGCGTTGGGGGTTTAGTTTTAGTTCTGCCACCTCAAAACCCACCGAAACTGTAATAAAAATTATTTATTGAAAGGCAACAAGTGCACCTACTGGGTGGCCTCCTGGGCCAAAATGAAACTACTGCTTTCACAAATTCTGATTAAGATATATCATGGCCTAAGGGGTAATAGCAGCTATTACTGTAAGCATAATGGCATTCATAACTATGTAAATATTTCAAATTCCTCTGCCCAACTCTAAATAACCTTATAGATAATAACTTAAAAAGCAATTATCGTTAATTGTTATGGCCATTTAAATTTAACGCATCATTAACAGCGACCAAAAGAAGGAAATAAAATAACAGAAACAGAATCAAAATCAAATGGAGAGCTTTGCAATATGCAAAACAAGCTTTGGGACAAAAGCTTCTTCCTCCTCCGAAAATATAAACCAAAGAGAAAGTCAAAGAGAGAGGACTCTTCGTTGGTGAAATTCGCTTTCGTTGGCTCTTTAGAGCGTTGCCTACTTTTGGGCGTCAGTTTTTATGACCGTTGACCCACGACCAATTGCCAGCTGAGCGTGATGACAAATTTAATTACCAACACCCGAAATAATAAAAGAAACCCCCGTCCAAAAAGCCAAAAAAGAAAAACACCCACTGGTAAATATGATGGGAAGCTTCTGCTGACCGAAAGCGATAATCCAAGTTCAATGAGGCGCACACAATTTATGGGGGATTATAAAATTTGCCGACATGCCTTTCGTTTTCCGCCAAGGTCATGGCTTAAATTTGTGATCAAATTAAATTTGCTTAACTTAAGTTAACCCATCCGATATCTATTCGGGATTAAGTTTGAAGTCGTCTCCTTCAGCGGCATATGTTGCCTCTGCGAGAGGCAACTGAGCTCTGGGCCTGATGCTTGCCAGTTGGAGCTGACAAGTGTCCTGAATAATTTATGACTTGCCCAGTTTCGAGTGCAACATCTGCCACAGCTACCACGATTCCACGATGTCCACGAGCTCTGCATTAATTTTAATTTGTTGTGGGACTCCAAATTCTTCAAGACATCAAGCGGCGGACCAATTCCCCTTCGGCCAGCTAACCAGTTGGACAAAAGGTGTTAAGAGCATTCCTTTACGGCCATCCGCATCCACACCCCCTCATCGACCATTTACTTCAATTGGAAATTTGTGAGCAGCATTTACTTTATTTCGCATTATTATTGCCTGGGGTGGAATCCCAGAAGTCAGAGCTTTGTTTGGGGTGCGCATCTGTGCGTGCATCATCCGCACCCTTTTCACTTTAAGCAATTGCTTCTGCTGCGGGGCGATGCTTGCACCAACAAGTGGCAATTGAATCTGGCAATCAAAATCGCATGAAGTCGCTGATATTGTTATTGGATGTTAAGCAGGAAGGTTAAATGGTTCGAACTCCTTCTGCATAAACACCTCCGATGATCCTTCTACATCAGCTACTTTCGTATATTTATACGATTTACCAAAAGCTAAATAAAATTCAAAGCTTATGAAATTTGCTTTTACTTCGAAAACGTATTGAGAAAGTTTGTAGGAATAGAATATTATCTCAATAAAATGTTTTTTTTAAAGGAATTACAAACTATTAATAAGGCTTAAGGCTAATTAGCAAACTAAATTAAGCAGCAATCTAGTATTTAAGACCAGAACTGAAAAATTAGTTAGGCATTATAAAATAATCTATTTTTGTAAATCTTGCAAATTATTTATTAAACCCACAGCAGCTGTAGATATACTTAACCCATTGCCACAAAACAAAGCACAAAACTTACAACTTAAGAAGTTGACATTGTGGACGGGGATCCTTGTCAGCGAGTCGTCCTCGAAACGTTGCCATGAAGTGGGGACTTGTCTTGGATTTCTCCTGGCTGCGCCGTTTCATTACCTTTTTTCAACTTTGTTTTCATTTCATTAAGGTGGCAACAAAGTCGGAGAATGCTACTAATTGCAATCAAGGTGGCTTCAACTTGTTGCTGCAACAACCTCTTGAATCCAGTGCCATGAGCACATGAGCTCTAATTTTTTCCAGAGCTCGTCTGCGTTCTCTCTCGGCTGATTGAGGACTTCACTGGCTAAATTAATGGATCATTGAGGGCGATGCACCAGAATTGCACCTTGAACCGGGACTTTAAGTTATAGATATCTACTTGACATTTGGTGATTCCTTCCACGCAGTTGTTAGCCACAAAAACCTTTTAATTTTAATTAGAAGCAAACACATTTAAGCCAACAGAACACAAACAGAAACGAAAAATGCCAGCGCATGTTTGCTCGCCCAAAAAATGAGGTAAACAAACAGCAACAAAATAAAATAAAAATACATTTTCCCATACAAATATATATATATATATATTGTATATATTTGTATATATTTTATAGCTTTGAGCTGAACAAACAAAACAGAGCAACAAAATCAACAAGCAGGCGACGACGGCGCTTCAAAAGCCAAAGGCCCCTTTTTATTACCTTTGTCAAATGCACAAATAGCCGAAAATCCAAAGCCACTGCCTGGGTCACCAACTCACCCCTTTATTCCTCTCTGGAATACCCATGAATACCCAGGAATCGGCACAGCTAAGCAATTCCGGTGACAAAACACAACAAACGGCTCAGGCAAATTTACACATTCATTCTGTGGACGGTGAACCAGAAAAAGTGGGCTGCTGGCCGAAAAAAGGTTGAAAACTCAAATGTAGCGAGCTGCCAAATATCCAAACATCTAAAGGTACACAATAAAATATTATATCGTAATAAAACCCCACCCACGCCCATTTGAACTTCCACTTTCGCAGATATAGAAGAGAAATGGCTGGCAGGTGTTGGGCGGGCGGAGGACTCCCATAGTGGCAGATAGCACGATTGAGCGATACTTCTCGCATAATATGTATTCCTTGGGCCAGAAATGGAGCTGGAGTGGAGAGGCGGCGCAATATGTATTTAAGATTTATTGGAGATTTATGCCCGGCTTTTGCCTTGGTTAGCAGCTGCTGCCCCAACATCTTCTGCGGCTCTATTTTCATTCATTGCTAACAAGCAATTTAGCATCTCTCAGCGGGGCGAAATCCGCTCGGATAAGGATATGTTCTTGGTATATTCAGCCCAAATCTGAAAGCTAGCCGATAAGCTCTTTAACAACAACCATAAAAACACCTATCCAATATACTAATCGCCTATAAAAATATATATTTTATACATAATGAAGTGATGGGTTTTAAGTTATTTAAAATATGTCCTTGTATTAATGAAAGGTTAAAAAATCAGAACAAAAATGCAGCAAAAAAATGATATAAAGAATGCGAATGGAAATTTAAAAATAATGAAAAGGAATTATTATTGAGTGTGATAATATTTACTTTTTTTTTGTCCCATTATTGCCAGCTTTAAATCAAATAAATGGGATTAAACGGAGGACAATGATGTTTAAATTTAATCACTGCTTTCAAGGCTCAGTTAATACTTGATACTGAAACTAGACTTGAATCTACATTTTTCAATAAATAAAATGTTATAAGTACTGTAATTTTAATTAACCAAATCTAGATTCACCTACAATGTTTAATTTTCAGCGTTATGTTGGACCAACTAACTTACCCACGGAGCAAGTTGTCCCCAAAAATGTAACATGCATTTCCCACAGTCCACAGCTGCATACGGGTATAAGCCAAAAAGTTGTCTCTCCACGTCAGCACATTATTAATTCCCTGCTTCCGCTCCGTGTTTTGGTTGAAAAAGTTTAGCTGCATGTTTTTAATTAAATTTCACTTATTATTAGTATTATTTTCGGTCAGCCTTTGCACTCGTCATCGCTGTTTCACGCCACTATTTTATTTGTTAGTCTACAAAACACATATACATATGTATAGGAGAATGTGACGTGTTTTCCCCCTGTACATATTGCTTTTGTTCGAAAATAAAACGAACAGCAACAAAAATGGAAACAAGCAAAAGTTTCAACTTATTCCGTCGAGTTTTCCTGAACAAACGAAAACGAATCCGAATCTAAATCCAAATGAATGGCAAAACATTTTGATGAGAGGGAAAACTCGACGAAAAAAACGAAAAACTCAAAACTGAAAACGAAATTTATGTCCGGATGTACGAGTCTGTATTTTTAAAAACTGGTTGTATTTATTTTTAATAATTTTAGGTATTTAGTCATTAAAATAGAGCATATAAAATAGAATAAAATCCATACAAAATATTTCCCATTTTTCGCTTGTTCACAAATCACACACAAAAAATGCCTCTAGAAAGAAAGGAGAAAGTTTAGCTTAGTCGCCGAAGAGCTTCTTGCCCAGATCCATCATCCTGTGATTGCGGCAGACGCGCAGGGCATCGGCCTTCTTGAGCACGGCCTGGACATCGCCATTGACATCCACCAGTTGGGACAGGAAGTCCTCATAGGCGGATTTCACATTGGGTGGCAGGGTGCCAATCTTTACCTTCTTGAGGGTCTTTACAATACCCTCTGCCCAGCCGGATTCCAGGGCGAATTCGGAGAGCCAGGGCACCAGAGGTAAAACTCCACACATGGTCTGCATTCCCAGGAACCACAACTCCGACAGATCCGACCAATAGCCCTTGTAGGCGATGGACACCACCAAAGCAGTGGGATCGTTACTTTCGTCGATGTTGTAGGCATCCCAAAGGAAACGGATGGTGGCCTGGATGTAGCGACAAATGGAGAAGTCGTTCTGCTTCACCTTCTTGGACTGCTGCTTTAGCAACAACAAGCCCAGGACAGCCAGGTTACCATGGATTACCAGGTTATCGGGGGTGTCCTTCAACTCGGGCAGATTCTCGACCACGAACTTCAGCAGATTGGCAAAGGTTGCTCCATCTTCAGCCTTCTTGGGTTCCAGAACGGTAAAGTTCATCAGGATGTTGCAAAGGGCGACAATGGCACTCCTGGCCACCTTCATCTCTGCCTGCTGTTCGGGCGTTGGAACCGGATCGGGCTCATTCATTCTCTTTAAACGTTCAGCGCGTGGAATTGGCGGCCGCTTCCAGTGAGCAATGCTGAAGTAGAATTCCAGCGACTCCAAGAGAACCTCATCCTGTTTGTGGGTAAAGAGAACCCTCCTGGCCTCCTCCTCCACGGCAAAGTGGCACAGAGCAGGCAGCATGATCCTCAGAACATCAATGGGGGGTTCACCCTCCCTGGGACCTGCTCTCCAGGCCTTCAGCTCTTGGAAGCTCTCATTGGCCACCTTGAGCATGAAAGGCAGAAGTTTGTAGATGGCCGGTCTCATGGCAGTCGTCTCCTGGGCCAACCAAGCGGATAGAACCTTCACGATGGCAAATACAAACTTCTTATCCCTAGGATTGGCACTGTCCTTGATCTTATCCTGGCTGACTCTGGTCAAAACAGCCAGAATCTGGTTGAAAGCTCCCTTCAGTGCCGTGTATGTGGTTTGTTTCTCCTTGGGTTCCAGATCCAACTGATCCGTTGCCATATACTCAATGCAATACTCCAGGATGGAGAAGCAGCAGGTGAGCAGATCCGCCTGCTTGAAGGTGGTCTCCAGTTTTTTCTCATCCATTTGCATGCGCACCTCAATGGCTCCTAGTTGGAGGAGCTGCAGGAAGAACGTTTTCTGTTCGTCCATGAAGGCCCACTGGATTCCCAGCACCTGCAGAGTGGTGGCAATCAGATGCAGAGCAGGATCCCTTTGCTTGGGTCCAATCTTTGCCTTCAGAATATCTCCACAGCCCTTGAACAAGCTCTCTGGCCAGATTTGCCCCTCCAGAGAATTGATCACGATCTCACGACGGCAGGTGATAAGGATATCAGCCAGAATCCGGCAGAGTTCGTACTTCCTCTCCGTGTCATCGGTTTCCATATCCAAGGCAATCCTCTGGATCAAGGCGTGGAAGGCAGTGGGATCCTCGGGCCAAGAGAGCACGCCAAATTGCTTCACGAGCAGAACAATCAGATGCAGTGCCTCATCGGTCTGGAAACTCTGGGCGGAGTAGATCTGGGACATTTTCGGGATCGCTCCGGTGGCCAGGAGGGCCTGCTGACCTGGTTCATGGCTGGCGATGCTCTTGAGGCAACTGTACGCCTCGCTGACCACAATCAGATTATCCTCGTAGTCCTCGTCGTCGGCCTGCTCGACGATTTCCAAGAGAGTGGGTATGGCATCGATGATGTCCTTGTGGGTGGCTAACTCCTCCTCCTGGCAGAAGCAAGTGAGGATCGAGAGGGCTACACTTTTGTAAACCAATGGTGGGCAATCATTGGGAAGATCCTTGGAGACCAACAGTTTCTTTAGGAAGGGGAATCCAATGGCCTCGAAGAGCAGTTTCTTGCCCGCAGCATTGCAGTCCTTGCCCTTCACCAACTTGGTGACCATAAAGAGGGCAGCGAATTTTTCAGTGTCACTCTTTGTGCCCTTCAACAGGTTGGCGCACTTGCGCACGGGCTCCGGCACGTCCGTCATCCTGGTGTCCGACTCTCCGGGTGTGTATCTCACGGGCTGCCTATATACGGCCTATATATTTATCCGCTGCTTGGATATTCTACGTATATATGTCTGCGTCGTGGCTTTCTATAAATATCTCCTCACACTTTCACTTGGCTACAGCTTTCCCGTTGGTTCTTCCTCCGCCGGATTCGATTTTCTGTTTTTTCCTCTGGGTTTCAGATTTTCTGGGTTCCGTGTCTTCGCTCGACGACGCACTCTCGCTCACTGATCGCCGCCAGTGGAAAACTCGCGAGTGGCTTTCCCAGTTTTCCAAAAGCTGTGCAGCTGTTGCCGTTCGAACGGGGAAAACCTACACACAATTTATTTATACACGGATTCATACACTTTACCCGCGCCGGGGATCTGTCAATTGAGCATTGATAGGGAAATATTTGGGTTTATTTTTGAAATTATTTTTAATACATTTTGGGAATGTTTGCTCTTACTTATTTAACTTATTAGAAATGCTTAATATGTAGATTTGTTACTAATTGAATCCACAATTTAGTAATTCTTTACTTAATGTTTTAATCAAGTTGGTAAATTACAGATTTTAAAGTCTTTTAAAAGTCAAAAAGTTTTCATTTTCTACCTCAGCATATTTTTATATTTCCTGGCCAGTTTTCTTAATTTTTACTTTCATTTTTTTTGAAGAGCATTAAACATTTTCTCGAAACGACTTTTTGACATTCTCGGCCTATTGAATTTGAAAATCACTTGAAATCAAACGGATGACCAATGCAGTGGTCTTTGCTCTCGGCTTTTCCCTCGGCACTTTTCCACTCTCGCTCATTTTCCTCCCGCATTGCGCTCTGTTGAGAATCTCTGTTTATATTTAGAAAATGATTTTTCGTTTTTCGAATTTGTTCGTGTTTACATTTTAGTCAACTGTGAAATGTTCGCTGCCGGCTGCATTTCTTCCAGAATATTTTCAATACCTATTTGCATTCTCAGCGGCACATAAGCTCCTATGTGGCCACAAATACAGAATACTGATGTATATATGTATATACTATATATATCCGCATCAATATCCAAACTTATATATAAAAAAGCCACTCTGTGCAATGGGAAACAGGCAGAGGGACAAACAAAATTCACATATTTTTTTACACATAAATTATACATTAACTTAGTTATATAGACACATTGTTAAACACGAATATGGATCGGACATTTGCATATTTAATTTAAGTGCGATGCTTTTTGCCTTTTCACTTTGGGGTCAATGAATTTAATTGCACATTGCACTTTGTTTATAATTCAATTTATTCCTATGGCATTTATTTCAAAATATAGTTATTTTAAAACGAGCACACACGCTGATTTATTTTTTATTTTTACTAAATGACACACATTTACTCGCACGTTTTCATAAATTTGTGTATCACTTATAATAGTTATTAGTCATATACAATAGCGAGAATGTTTTCGCATTGTTTTTATTATTATATATTTACATTTTTGTTATGCCAAGATAAAAAAACATCTGTTTTATATATTTTACACTGACAACGTCGACAAAGAAAACATCATGCGGGCTATTTATTCTTTTGGCATTTAATTCTTTTAGCACAATTTTAGGTATTTATTCACTAATGAGCCATAGAATCTGACAAATTTTAGCAAAATCTGCTCAGAGGGAGAGAAATTTCTCGGCATTTTCAGCTATTTCCACAAACATATAGCCATTTAATCTTTAGCATGGCAAAGTCGGTTATTCGGACGCCATTGGTCATAATGCAAATGAAAAACTTTATCCATTCTGGATTATTTACTGTCACACAAAATGCAAATGCAAATTTGTCTGGACCCAGCAGCCGCTCTTGATTTTACCACACCAAAAACTTGTATGCATATTCGCCATATGGATATGGATATGGTTGCAGCTATATTCCACCCGCATTGGACCCAAATCGGATCCCATATCGCTGCTGTTTGCTTTTGTTATTATTATATTGGCGGTCCTCTTACCGACATGGACCAAGTGGTCGTTGAATGTGGCCAACTGACCGTTTTTGGGCAAACGCGGCTTAATTGCGTTGCTAGCAATTTCAATAATTGGGTTATAACGAAATTGATTAATTTTTACATTTCACTAATTATGTGCCGGGCAAATCCTCTGCCATTGTTATTATAATAATTATAAAGCGGAAATATGCTGGCCGCTCTCCGTCCATGTGTGTGTTTGTTTGTTCTCATTTGGATGTAGATGTGTGTGTTTCTCAGTTTCGTTGCCTACTTTAAGGCTGTAGTTAAATTTCCGTTTAAGTCTAGTAAACTAAATTGAAAAATGTCCCACAAAACGGACTTACTTACTTGCTCGGACACATCACAGTTGCCTTATCTAACTGGGTCCATAACCAGGAGAAGGCAGCATCAACATCAATAATTGAAATAAATCGCTTGACAAACGATGTTCGGACCAGAACCAAACCAGCCAAGGAAACTGAAAAACAGACCTCACAAACGGCACAGCTGAAAACAGAAAGGAAAACCAGGACAAAAACGAATACACTCCTTATCACTAATCACGGAACCAAGTCGAACTGAGGCAAAAAGCGAAAAACTAACCAATCAGTTGAGGGAGTTGGTAAACAGGACAGAGAAGAAGAAAATTATTTGATATGATATCACTTTTTATGTGCCACATTTAAATGCCATTTCTAAAACACAATAAATATTAATGATATTTGAATGATTATATAATTAATATCAAAAAAAGAAAGGTAGACGATTGTTCTTCATTTGAAGTTCCAAAAAGAGCTTAAACTTCCTTCCAACATAATTTGTATATTTTTAAAAATAAAAAGACACTTAACAAAAAACTACTTTATTCAAAATACTATTATTTGGTAAATATTAAATAAAAGTCTCTTATATATTCGGAATATGAATTTGACGCTATAGGCAAATCATTTTAAAAAATAAACTTGAAAAACCCAATTACTAGCCATATACTTTTTCCATGCTAAACAGTTTCAAATTTGTGGCTTTATTTTCTCTGTATTCGGACACTGGTGATGGACACCAGAACTCCTCCAGCTACTCAACGCAACTTACACTCGTCCTTCCGCTTCCAATTCCGCTTCCTTCTTCAACACGCCTCCTTTTGTGCGAATCGAAGGCTGCGAGCATCGATTTTCGGACAGCAATCCTGAGTTTGCAGAGCTGTTTCGAAATGTTTTGACAAATGATTTTGTTTATATTTTCCATTTCATCGAAGCCTCCGAAGGGGACATTTTTGTGGCGCCTCCACAACTACCGCCATCGCCCTAAATGCCGCCACACCAAACGTCCCATAGATAACAATGCAAAAGTTTGGACTTTCAGCTGGCCTAGAGATCATCAACATTGATTTCAACTTTTCGGCGGGAATGATTGTCATCATCACAGCATCTCGGCATCTCCGCCCAGACTAAGTTTATTTGTGGGCGTGGCCCTGGCCCAGAAAGCAAAAAATAAATTGTCTGTCATTACAAGCTTTAAGTTGGTCAACGAATCATTTTGCTTCCGATGAGCCGGAGACCCATTTAAGTTCACCCAAGTTGGGGCAGACGGAAATTAATCTTTATAATGTCGAAGTCATTTTGCACAGGCAAACTGCCTTCATTATATTCTTAATAATTGGACAATTTAGGCCAACAATTCAGTAAATACGAAATGATAATATTGTTATGATTTATGAGAGCAAATATTTGTCCCATTTATTATTAACAATGCAGGAGATTCCAAAATTTTGGTGGCCTATTCACCTGTTGATGTTGTTAATAGTTGGAGACAGACAAATCGGTTTGCCTAATTGCAGTAGGTTAATAAAACAAATTAAATGATTATCAAAATAAATTGCAATCGCTCTTAATTCGGCCAGCAGCAATTTAGGCTACATGGTTATATTGATTAGATAATTAATTTATTAAGGACTATCCATCAATAATTATATTTTGAACTAATTTTAATTGGTTTGGAATTGGGAGCTGCTACTTATATAAATCATTCGTAAGTACTTAAATGATTTAATATATAAGAACACATTTTTAAGGTGTCAAACATTGGTCTAAAAGTATATACACTTATAGATTTAATTCATTTAACTTGCCTTAAAAAACCAAATTTAAAGAGCATCTTGATGTGTCTACATCATTACAGCCATTTATAGTTTTAATAAAAGTTTAAATCGAACTTTAAACATATTTATATATTGCACTACATTTATTCCGTTTCAAATTCAAACTAGAACCATATATAATCCTTATAGAACTTTTGTGTTCCGATTGGGAACTCTCTAAAAACAAAACTTGAAAAGCTTCTTGATCTTGCTGCATCGTTAAGTAAATGCAACTTCTATATTCCTTTGAAAATTGTATTTTCCGATTACAAACATTTTAAACCCTATTAAAAAAGTTTTATGTGTTCATGTTTACTTTTGACATTTTACAACGAAATACAATTATATGAAATGAATTGTCTTAAAACAGATTCTGTAATCTCAGAATTTATCGGTTGAATCGGTTAGACCTTGCTTAAAAAAACCCCAGCAAGAGCTATGAAAATGTTTCACACTTTCAAATCCCAACTCCCTGTTATTCTGGTAAGTATGAAAAAAAAACCCAACAGCTGTGCCCAAGGACATGAAAGTAAACCACTTCGCCGCTCAAGCAGCCTGCACCACCCCAAGAAGTGTTCAAAATAATCAGTCATACACGTGCACATCCTTGTTCCTTGTTCCTCCGGCACCTTCGATTTGCCTCAGTTTTTGACCTTTTTTTCGCCGGCGAGCGTGCCCTGATTGTTTGCGAAGGCTGGCACGTGTCAATTTATATTTAAATTTAAATGCAAAAACCGAATCAAAATTCCAGCGAACAGAATAGAATTAAATTTCAAAAGGCGACAGCATCAGCAGCAGCAACAGAAAACAATCATATTTTCTGAAAAGCATCTGAAGGCTGTTAACGGTTTTGGTTTACACAATATTAATGGCTGATTAATGTGGGCGAAAGGCAGCTGCGGAGTGTAGTTTCCTGAAGGTTTCAGCCCGTTCACCCCGTTAACTGATTCACTGGAAACATCTTCGAACAGATTGACTTTCGGGCAGGATGAATCTGAGTGGGTGCACTTGGAAAAATATATTCGCTTACGTTTTTATGAAATTCTTTCTTACTAAGCTAAATATGTCTGTCTGTATAGTTCCATGTTGTGCAACCAATAAAACACACTTGCACATGAGATACTTTGATTGTCGCA